TATTCATTTTTCTTCGGCAAAAAGCAAAAAATAAAAGGTAGTGCAATATAAAAGTAATTGTATAGCAAAATGATAAGATTCCATGTTAAAAATAATTAAAGAAAAAAACGAACACAAATAATTCACATGCTACCCCAAACATCTCTGCCCATATCCTACCTTTTTTTATTTATTTATTTTAAAATAATTGATGGTGCTGCATATTCAAACAAAGGAATCAGGGACAGAAATAATACAATTGTTAAAAAAGTTGATTCTTTGGTAATACAAATAAAAGGGAAAAAAACAAAACTTAATCACATGGACACCAAGTCACCAACACACCATATTGTTCTAGTATTAGTAGTACTCATAAGAAAATTCTACTGCATATTTCATCCGGAATATATGATGATATGGTAGAGCTACTATTTGAGTTGTGTTTCTTAGCTATGTTAATCTTTTTATTTTACATCTTATGTTTCAAGAATATAGTTTAAAAGTTTTTCTTTTTTTTTTAAATCCTAGTTACTCCGTATTAAAATAAGGAGGCCGGATTTTTTTTGTGTGTGTGTGTGTGTCTATATATATATATATATATATATATACACGTATTCAAAATAAAAAAAATCAATTTAAGTAATGTGTAATATAATAATTTTTACTCCATGTCATTTAAAAAAATTATTCAAAACCAAAAGGAAAAAGACAAATCAATTTAGCGGTGAGTACAAGAGAAAATAATACTCCCTCCGTCCACATTTAAAGTTCCCGCTTTAACTTGTTGCGCAAATTTAGGTGGAATGAAAATTGTGTTGACTTTCCCTTTATGCCCATAATCTTTTCTACCCCTGTATACCCCACTGGAGCCGTCTACCCCTGTACACCACTGACGCCGAGACTTCTGCACCGCCGTCGCCGCTGCTTCTGCACCGCCGTCGATGATGCTTTCGCATCCCCGCCGTCGAAAGCTCCGGGCATCGCAGCGCCCAGCCGTCGCATCCCTCTCGCCGTCACAACTTGCTTCTCTCGCCGTCACAAGCCCCCGCCTTCAAAGATCTATTTTTAGACTTCTCGTTAGGGAAGAAAATCAACATCCCACCATAGATCTGGAAAAAAATAAAAAAAATTGTTCCTCCAAATCTAGATCCGACGAAGATGCAACCAGATCTGGAAAAAATTTTCTTCTTTTAATTGACGAAAGAAGAAGGAAGAAAAACAGGAAAAAAATGACGAGGTGGGAAGGAAGAAAAAGGAAAAAGAAAAAGAAATGTAATGGACGAGGGTAGTTTTGTCTTTTAACCCTGTAAAACTTACTAAAAAGGAAATGAGAACTTTATTTGTGGACGGACCGAAAAGGAAAGTGGGAACTTTAATTTTGGACGGAGGGAGTAGTATGCTCCTGAACTAGTTTTGGAGTGTTTATATCATTCCCCCCTCTCTCTCTCAAACCAACCATATACTTCGTAAAAGGATATATTTGCAAATTGCAACAAGAAGAAAACACTACCATAGAGTTGCAAGTAATAAATTTTAAGAAAGTTATATGCAGGGAGTCTACCATTCATGAATAGATTAATTTAAAGTATGTTCATAATTGAATTCTAATTTTTCTTATTAATTTTTCTTTTTTCTTAATATTTTATTTTAAAGCTACTCTGTACTATATTCTACTCTGTTTTAATTTATCAAAAACATGATTTTCTGATATGAAGAATCCCAAATTTGGGCAATCACAGAGCATACTTCTCATAGTTTTAAGAAAATATTTTAGTTTGTTTATGAAGAAAATTAAATAAATATACCTTTTGAGAAGAACAAGAATTCTGAGATTTTTGAGCAAATTCGTGCTGATAACGTATTATAAAATTAGAGAAAAAATACTCGGAGACTATGAAAATAAATATGATATATTTTTAATTTCTTCTCTCTATTGATTCTTCACTCTTCTTCTTGTTCTTAATGGTTATTTGCAGGGATCCTAAGCCTCCTGTTTATAGTTGAGAGGCTTAGTGCTAACACTATTACAAATAGTATACATACTATACAAATGACAACTTGATGGTGATGATGAACAATTTATTCCTGCAACTTATGATGGAGCATGACCTAATTAATTGATAAATGAACAATTGATATTTTTCTTAACATTCCCAAACATTTTGTGAGCTCTTTTTGACAAGAAGAAATATCGTCATTGTGCAATTGACATTATTCATGGACTGGTTGGAAGGGAGATTTTGATGCAGAAAAACTAAAAAAAATCATATGGGCCAGTTTGGTCAAATAAAATTTTGGAAGCTGAAGTTACAAAACCACTTAAAAGTATCGAAAGATGCTTTTGTAAAACAAACACCAACTCGACAGTTATGAGTTATTCACTATAGAAATTTTCTCGCAATACTAACCAAACATCACTACATTCACAACATTATCTCATAAAGTACGAAACAGACGTTTCTTCATTGGTACAGCTCAACACGTTTTACTTGCAATTCAATACTCCCTCCGTCCACAAATAAACTTTATATTACGCGTTACGATGTTTGACTGAAGTTATTTTCAAATCATTTTATATGAAAAATGGTATAGAATTGAAAAATAAAAATTACATATTAGAATACTATATTAAAAGATCTACAAAACTAGAGGTGACATGACTATATTATTTTATCAAATGGGTGACCAAAATAGGCCAACAAAGTGAATAAAGTTTGACCCTGTGAATAGTGAACGTAAAGTTTATCTATGGACCGAGGGAGTACTTTATAAGAAATCACCAAACTGATTTTACGTTATTAAAGTATATGGAGCATAAGTTGCAAATTGAATCTGTGCTACAAGTGAGAAGAAGAAGAAGGCGGCATCCTTCACGCTAGACACGATCACAAGGAACAATTAAAGTCAGTCGAGAAAACAAGGCCAAAAGAACATGAAACTGGCTTGAGCTTTTGCCAACCCATCTATCGAATACGATTTTTAAAAAGAAATTTAACTTCTTCACAAGCATGACTTCTTTTAGCAGTTACCTGCAAGTACGCACCATCATTCAGCATATGCTGCAATACCCTTGCAATGTTTTTTGAATCATCTATTCCGAGATGGTGACTTCCGAACGGGGGAATATTCAGTTCCCTCATCATTGAAAGCATCCCTGAGGCCTACATTGCCTCAAA